TAGCTCATTTGCTGTGGTTGCACTCATTTGAATGCAATTGCAGATAGTGTTACCTGGAAGTAAAGAAGCCTCTTTCTCAAAAGCATTCACCACTTCTTTTTATTTAATGTTGATATTTTCTATGAAGAACAAATTACTCACATATTTTACTATTTTACATCAAATGTACATGTTGTTTTTGTATTGCTCAAAAATATACAAAATTAATTAGGTCTGATTTTACAGAGAAAGAGGATATGAAATATTTCATCACACCATTTCAAGCTTGATTGTTCCAGGATTTATGTTGCTTCATGGTTTTATTGATATTTGATTGTAATAGCTAGTATAAACCTCTGACTGCATCCATAGAATCATAAACTAACTTGGGTTGAGTTTCTGTAGCTGTAGCAGTGTGAAGCACACACATTATGCCTGAGATTGCAGCCGAGTGCTCTGTCTGCTTAGCTGAGTCAGCAAGTAGAAAAGTAGTTCAGACACTGGCATGTTACAGTGTAATCCTGCTTATCACTATCAGTATATACCTGTTTTATATATATATATATATGTACATATATATATGTATATGCACAACCCCAGTGTCATGTGCATGTTAATAGATCATGAGTGTATGTATGTGTATGTATATATGTGTGTATATGTATATATTGCATATATTAAAAACATGGTAGAATATCTTGCTTTTTCTCCTTTTTGTTTTATAGGAGTACCTAAAATTGTTACATTCATGGCTTTTAAAAACCATAGCAGCAACATAATTTTGTATTAAGCTTCTTTATAGGTATAGATGAGTGATTTATTTTGATTAGACATCCCATTTTCCATTGCAATATTTGTGACTCAAATTTCAGTTTGCTTTGTACTAGAAATCTCAGTTTTTGGTAGACATGCATATCTGTGTTATGCTAACAGAGGATCTTGTGTCTGTGACTAAACAGCAAAGTTCCTATAGCTAGTAGAAGAATAACATGTCCAAGGATTGAAATCCAGCAGCCATCCACAGACACTGACAGGTATTGCCCTTGTATGCTGGAGTTTGAAATTTTAATTAGAATAATTGTAATTAGAAAATGTATTGTTGCATTTTTCCTGTTCTGTGCTTGGCATTTCTAGATGAAAAAAGATGCACTAGGAGCTGAACTGTAGTGTACTGTAATCCTACAGCAATTCTATTTTTATTTCTTCAGTGTTTTGTTACAAGAAAAACCTAGTAGTGAAATTGTGATTGGCATGATCTTATACCTTGCACACAGTAAAATAATTTCATGTGGCCTTATAAATTTTTTTCAGTTATTTCGGGGAAAAAAAAGCTTTCATTTGTTTCCTAAGCTATTACAATTGCTTACTGTTGTAAAACATTCATCTTTTATAAAGCTTTCTCTATACAGAAGTTTAGATCAACAAGTACATTCATTTATAAAAATTCTTTTTATTCATTGAGAAAAGTAACAAATCTGAATAATTAAAAATTAGAAATGGTTATTTTCTGCATTGGGAAAAGTGTTAGCTTTTGAAATTTCCTGAAAATGTATCTAGAACAATGCAGGTAAATCAGTAGATCAAATTAAAGTGGTAGCAACTTTGGTTAGATACTGTAGTAACTAGACTTCACAGTGGTACCTAAAAAATATGGGATTCTAATTCTAGTGTTTGATGGGTTGGGAATATAAAGTTAGATTGTGAATACTCACAGAGCTTTCTGTGTAATGACATACAGAGAACTCAAACAGTCTCGTAGAGATAGGTGCGCTTGATTTAGAAGCAAACACTTTCTGCTGTACTTTTTCCGATTTTAACCGGGGACTAGGCCATCTACCTTGCATGTTTTCCTTTCCAAAGGCAGAAGCATGCCACAATAGGCAATACTAAATGGAGGAGGTCATTATTTGACATGTCATTAATTGCATTTTCATAATGGAAAGTCTGTTAGTAAAGATAAACAGAACTACTGTTCATTAAAATATCATATGGATGTTGAATGGTTTAATAGAAGCATATTTCCCTCTTTAAAAATCAGTAGTTCATATATGATTTATAATGAGAAAAAAGGAAAGCTTCAACTAAATAATTTCAGAGCATAAGTCTTTAAGAATGTTATCTGAAAAGTTATGAACATCTGGTTTTAATTTAACTTCCTCTCCATGCTTATGGCTGGATCATGATATTAATGCATAGTTGTATATGGTGGTTAGGGGTTGAGCTTCACTGCCCAGCCAGGTTATTGGAATGAAGAATTTTCTCTAAATTTTTCTATGAATTTTTCAGTTTATTTCTGAAGAGAGGGATCATGTAGTTCATGTGCTTCCTCTTAAAATGACAAAAATGAGGATGAAGAACAGACATTAAAACTATCTGTTGAATTGTTCTTTATATGTGTATGATGTAAAACCACAAAGTGAAGCTTTCAAATGGAAGAATGTCCACTTGAAATAGCCCTCCATTTGCTGTAGTGGTTATTTACAGGATTGCAGCATGCAGCCTGGGACTTGAGGGTAACAACTTAGTTTTACCACAGGATTCAACTTAGTCTTCAAATCCTTCAGTCTACAAAACAACAGCTATGCCAAAGCTTCAAACAGAAAGGTTCACTGCCAAATTCCACATTTTCCTTCCCTTTTGTGAACTTCTGGTTGGTTTTCCACATAAAGTAAATTCCAGCTGCAGATTGCAGCAAACTGAATATTTATATTTACTATTGAATATGAAGTTTCTGAGGCCTTTATCTGATACCATAGTGGTTAGCTACACTGGCTCCACGATGCGCCGCAGAATACAAAACTTGCACACTAAGCCATTAGTATTGATACTAAAGGTAAAAATGCCTCTCTGCCCTCTAATATAGGCAGCGGGTCCATCCCTGACATCCTAAAATTTACTTTTAGGTCTAATGGCCTAAAGAAAATGAGGCCGTAAGAGTAACAAATGAAGACTCCTAACTTCTCATGAAGTGTTTATGAGAATCATGTGATTGCTGCTCTCCTGTTTCAACTGGCAGTTGGAAGGAGAGAAAAATAGAAAATGGAATAATACCTCTTACCATATTGCCCAGACCCTGCTGCCATGTGCTCCAGCAGTCCCTCACTCTTTGCCAGGAAAAAAGGTGTCCTAGCTCTGTGTGTGTGACAGACCCAAAGAATAAAGTCTCTGTGGGTTCACTAATCTTCTTAAATATGTGGGCAAACAAGATAGGGGTGGGTTTTCTGGACCTTGGTCATATTATCTTTTGTAATTTTGTTGAAATTAGGAATATTTTTCCTTGGAATTTAGTCCCACAATTGAAGAATGTATTCCATGGTCATTTTTTAACCATCATGCAGATGGCTGACACTTTTCTCACTTTCCATAGCTCTGAACCCTCTCTTAAACAGTTCTATCAACTAAACGACATTCCAATCAAAGCTAAGGTTGTGTTTCTTTGTCTATTAACAATGTAAAAGAAGCGAGACAGTGGATGTTTTTGCTGATGAAGCTTCCCATTCAGAAACAGAACTGGTAGAAGAAGAAGTGAGGTAATTTTGTTGTGGTTTTGTGCCAGGCTCATTGTACTTTTCCTCCAATCTTTAGTGCCTTAGCTTATAATTATCATTATGTGTCTCACTGTGGTGTGTTCGCTTGTTAGGAGCTTATAGATGTAGGTTCATGATGTATGGTATTATTCTGAATCTGTCTGTGGCAATTCCTTCATATGCTCTGGGAGTGTAATTATGACCTCATGGAAGGCCTGAAGAGACGTTGCTTTTAATGAGTGTTTCAAAAACCCATTCTGCATAGTTAACCATGGTAGAGACAACTATACTCTTTTTCAATATGCTTTTTAGAAATAAAATGCTGTTACTAACATAAAACTCTTCAGGCTGTGTGGTATGCCTCTCTCTTTTTTGATACTAATTAAAATTCAACTTCTTGTTACACTTAATCACCATCCAACCACTCTTTGTAATAACTGACTTCATTGTAAAATGCATGACTTTGCTCAAGGAAAAGTCCTGAAGGGTACACATTCCCCATTTGTATTCTGTAGCTGTTCAGTTACTCAAGGAAAGCTGGGAGGACTGTGAATTTAATAAGTAGCTCCATTAGGGTATGGATTTTACTTTTTAAATTGCCTTTATTTAATGTATTTTAGGATATTGCTAGCAAATATTGCTCCTTGCAAACAGATCAATTACATTGTAAAAAAAGGTGGGACTTGATTAGTTTCTGAAAGTAATGACCTGATTGATTGGCTTAGATACCAGAAGACTAGACTGCTTGATCAAGAAATTCTTGTTTACTTAGTTTAATTTCTCCCCATTGCATCTATAACAATAAATTTTTCCGCTGTTATTTTGGTACAGCTGTGGGTTAGATTTTTTTCAATTACAAACCAATCTTTTTCTAGTTGTTGGATCCTCTGCAAGTACTAATGATGTAGATTTTCATCTGATTACAGTCCAAGCACCACATATGAATCTGTCACTATAGCCTAGCCTATATTTTGACAGACATCCTGAGTCTAATAATAGCTAACAGTGCTATGTGGTAATTATAACATCTAGAATGTGCACTTTCCTACAAACAAGACTGCTACCTCTAGAGATAATGCAATCTATAAAAACCTACTCATAGGAGGAATAATACACAATTAAATTGTGCAATTAAATGAGTCCTTAGCTTTAGTGAGACTTAATATTATGTCGGCTATTCATTTCTTCCCAGGTTGATGTATCAATTGACAAAATAGCAATATTTTAACCCAGAAATCGTCAGGAAACAGACTATTGCATGGATAGTCATTACTGAGACATTGGAAACATTTCAGCCCATTTATCAAGAGTATGGAGCAAGTCAAATCATACATGTATAAAACCCCTGTATGTTCTCAAGAAGTTAACTCTGAAAATTTACTCCCCCCAAAAATGTACAAAAATGACTTGCTCCAAACCAGTATCATGCAACATATTTTATAATTAATAGAAAAGTCAAAGTTCAACTGAGCTGCTTTTTGACTAACATTACAGGAATTGTGAAGCAGCAGATAGACAGCCATATCAAAGATCCAGATCAACAGAGCAACGTCCTATGCTAGAGCGGACCAACTCCCGCTCCCGATCCACAGAGCGTCCTGACTCAAACCTCATCAGGTCGATGCCTTCATTAATGACTGGAAGATCTGCCCCTCCTTCACCTGCCTTACCGAGGTGAAACAGACAAATCAATCAGACTAATCCCCTTCTGCCCTACCAGCTCACCATTTTATTTTCCTAGTAGCTAATTGGTATCGCGTCATCCTTAGCTGATCACTAGTAGCAATAGATACTAACCCTTTCGGTGCCAACACACCATTTATATTCTACTCTGGATATAATGGTGTGGCTGTCATTGCAAATTGTTTGCTAACAGTATTTAACTACATTTGTTTATGATTTCTCATTTGTCAGGAGTCCTGGATGATTTCCCACATAAAGCACCTCATAACTACCATATTCTTCTCTTACAGAATGAGAAATTATTTGTGTTCATCAGACATTACTTATGGAACAACCATCATAACATCAAACGAAACTATTTTTTTTTAAAAAAAAAAGTTTCTTTAGATGGACTGTACTAACTTTGTTTCTTAATTACCATTTTAACCACCATTTTCTCTGACTACATTTAACTGTGCCATAGTCTGTATTGTTCCTGTTTGAGTGTCACTGATTGATACTTTGAGGATATCTATTCATTATTCTTAACTTAAATAAACATAATACAATAAAAAGATGAGTACATTTTGGTCTAGCTGATGTTCAGCAAAGTCTCTCCTTATTTCGGAACTACAGAATACATTCTTTTGTTTTCTGAAAGTTACAGTTAGTAACATCTAATCCCCAGTGAGAGTCAGAGTCAAATATCAGTGTCTTTTCTCAGTTTATTACTCTTTAGACAAATCCCTGTAATCTCATTGCCACTCAAAGGTAATTTAAGCAAATACAAGTGGAGTAAAGACAACTGAATTTGACTCGTGGATAAATTTATGTGTATGTGAGTATAATATCCATATGCACATGAATATACACACAACACATTTTCTGGTTTGTGCTAAGAACCATCTTACAGATGTTCAGCCTTAGTTTGGCTTCTTTTTCATGAAGAGATTTCTCTTTTTAATCAGGTCTTTTTCTGAAAAGAGATAATAGTTTCACTCTGGGACTGCAAGGGTCCCAAGTGATGTAAAGTCTGCTTAGTCATGTTATCAGTTCTTGATGATAATTAAGGATGAATTTGTCTTTTAATAGCTGTGGTTTGTTTTGATATGTGTCTCATAGGTCACATCCTCGAACTGGTTCTGTTCAGACAAGTCCATCAAGTACTCCAGTAGTAGGGCGAAGGGGCAGGCAGTTACCGCAGCTCCCACCAAAGGGGACGTTGGAGAGAAGTAAGTGTATGGTTTTCTCCTTAATTACCTTGCCAAGGTGCTTGTGAAGGTTGATTATATTTATCATTTTTCTTTTGGCATTACAGTTGAAATCTCTTGAGGTTTTGTTTACAGAATTAGGATTTGATAGTACTGTATTGTATTTTGTACTGTGTTTTCTTCTGTAATGTTTTAATATCTACAATGCTTAGACTGAGATAAATCGTCAGTAGTACAATACACGTGAACCAAGGTGGACAATTAGCATGATCCCATTCCTTTTGAACTCAATTGTCATTAACAGGCACAGGAAATGATCTTTTATATGTTGTTTAGTGATAAAATTCAGGCTCTTTGGGGAGTCAGGAGCATAGCTGATCACTTGTGGAGTGTATTACAGATTGCTAATACAAAACCTCTGCATCTTGAAACAGGAAGATCAAGAAAAGAGGTAATAATCCTTAAAATAGGAAAGGTCAGAATGATATTTCATGATTCATGTTTTACTGGTACTGTAATTGTGCTTATCTTTAATGTCTTATAAAAGCACTGGTCAATGGACACATTTTCTAAAATGTTTAGAAACAGGAATATAACACATTTTTTTGTAGCGAATATATTTTCACCCTTCCACTTCTAATAACTGTATGTGCTGTGCAAAATCAGTCTAAATGGCCATATACATCTTTTTTATATCTTTTTTTTTAATCCTTCTTAACACATATATTGTATCTTTTATAAAACTTCTGTTGTTTTTAACCCCTGTGCTTTGGTTCCTTTTTTTTTGTTTGTTTGTTTGTTTTGTTTCTGTGACTTTCCCTAGACAATGGAGACAAGGAGATAGAATCTTATGAAGGTCTGTACATAAAGAGGGGCTTGTTTTTCACCTGAAAGCCTTTTCGAGAGGCTGGGTAGGGGAAAATAAACCCAACTGCAATTGATGTTACTTGATTGCACAGATGTAGTTAGTAGTATTGTCATAATTATTTAGTCTATATTTTTAGACCTGTGGCTCATAAATTGTACAGGGTTCTTCATGAAGAAAAGACAGCATAAATAATACTATCTACATATGATTGTCATTAGAAAAGTGCCTACACATTTACCCATTTTTAAAGACAGATAATTTATGCTATGACAAATAAGAACCTAGCCTAGCCTATGTATGTATGTACCTTTCCAGGGTTAGCAGATGTTCAGGCACATATTTAAATATAAACATTTTAAACTATTTGACATGTTTAATCATAGCCATGCATTCAATCAGAACAATGTTTCTATTGCAAATATGCTACAGGGGGATACTTTTCCTTATATTTTATACTATTAACCATTTCATTTACTTAGTAGCAAGCCACAAGATATCAATTGCAGTCCTTGGTTATACCACTGAGGGTCTTTATGTAGTATTACTGTATCTCTCTCATCAGACTTTTTAATTTGGTGTTTGCAGTGTTTATTTCCATTCTGGAAACAAAACTTCATGAAAAGAAAACTCTTGTTTTCTCAGATCATCACCCTAGTATATTCATTTATTTGTCGTCTTATGTGTGGTGAATTGCTTATATGAAATACAGTCTAGATATGCCAGGAAATAATTACCTAAAATCACATGTTGTTTGCTGTCATTGGTGTATATGCTTTTGTTTTACCACTCTTCCCTGCTCTTTGCTTAGTATATGTATTTAGACTGTGAGCTCCTTAGGACAGCAATTGTGAAGTACTGCTTATTTTTACTATGTTTGATTAGAGAGGGTAGCAGTCTTATTTACATCATAGGTTCTATAGAGAGAAATGTAATAAACACAATAAAATAATTATTTTTTATAGGAGGGCTAGAATTGTTTGCTCTGGTAAGTACTTCTGGGACTTGAGGAACTCTATTCATTTTTCCTTGAAGTCTGAGTAATATTTTCCTTTACCTCTGTCTAAAGTAGTCTTTTGGAAAATATGGGTTATGAAAAGTTGCCAGATCCACAGATGTTTGAGTTTTAATATACAATCAAAGCATCATTGGTGACTCAAGATACTGTAACTAAACACGTTTCACTTTGAATTTACACATATAAAGATATTAAACACTGTTAAAAACATAATCTTTCATAAACTAGTCTATATAATTTTCTGTCATGAGTTATGAACTCATATTCTAATAACAATAGAGTTTTTCTTTGTGGCTTTTTCTATCCTACTTTAGGATTTTCTAATAATTTTCTTCAAGGCGAGTAATAATTTTCCTTAAAAGGAACAGTGCTCTGCAAGAAGAACAGATTACCTAACTTTTGTCAGATACAGCACATAATGAAGATTAATAGTCTTTTTACTGTGGAGAACTGAATTTTACAAAAAGTTATTTTAAGCAAATGAAATGCCAGTTATAAAACCTGAAATTTAGTAGTCTATTGCAGAAGGAGTTTATGTTATTATTTAAAAAATAAAGCATCAAGTAAAACTGAAAATTTTTCTAACATTTAGATGTTTGATTAGAATCAATGTGTTGCTATACACCCTGGTGACAATCAGAAGGGTTGTCTGTTGTTGGGAAGGCTATATGACCATACTAGATGATGTTATTGTCAAAGAGTTGTCCTTTCTGCTCTTACAGAAGCATATAGTTGACTCAAATGAGAGGCATTTCTGTGCTGCATGGAACCAGGATGTGAAGGTTAACCTTTCTCTATTTTGAAATCAAGGATTTAACTGTTGAGCAGACTAAGCTAAAATCATACTGAAGAAAAGAGTTAGTAAAAGATAGATTATAGAGAAAGATGAATTGGAATTCATTTCAGTTTTGTAAAAGAGAAAAAGGAAAAATGAAAATTTAGTCTGCACACATCTGAATAATCTGTATTTGCTACAGGGTTGAAACTGCATACCTTTTCTTAAAATGTAATAGAAGTGCTGGAACTCAAGTAGAAATAAGGGAGTAATTTGCTGATGAAGATATTTTTAAATATAGTGCAGCACTCAGTAGAATGTGGAATATGGTGTGCTTATGGCTGTGTGACTAGAAATGGAAGGGAAGGAATCTACAAGCGAAAAAACACCTCTGGGTAACTGCTTTCCAAATTATGATCAGAATTAAAATACATTAATTTGGGTTAGATTTAATTCCATGAACTGTGTTATGTGGTTAAACATTTTTGATCCAGGACATGTAGGTGTCCCCAGAATACTTTATTTCGAAATTCTGAAATAGCTGCAGAGGTTAGTTTTGAGGAAATCTAGCTGTGAGTAGCAATGAACAGCCATTCCTATTGGTAGTGTATTGATCTATGCATCTTTTTCTAGTGCCCCACATGCTCAGTAGGAGAACATAGAATATCCTTAGTTGTGTTGCATTTACAGTCTTTTTTGGTCATGATATTTTGACTAATTCCTTATCTTCCCACTGCTGTGTTGCTGCCAGTATCAGACTGGCCTGTTCAGAAGAAAGATTGAGTATTTCTGAAGCGCATGTCATTGTCTTATTTACCCAGAATATACCATAAGCATGTAGACAGTTTGGGTTTTGCTTTAGGCTGTATTAGTTTAGTGTATTTTCATGTTAGATGAGTGGGAAATAGTTCTGAAAAGAAGTCTGGAACCACTTAAGGTTTTACTGGATTTTCACTACTGAAATGTCAGAAGACTTTTTTTTAGCTGAACTTTTGCTTGTATATTTTTTAATTATTCTAGGGATAGAGCAATTGTAATAAACATTTGTAGAAAAACAGTAGTATTAAACTGAACTTGTTGCAGCAGTGCAATGTTTACTGACTCTTAAATGTTCTGTATTATTGCCACTATAGACAGTAAGTGAATACTGCAATATTTATAGTTATTAATGACTAATGTGATATTTTTCAGTTATATGTGGCTATGATGGATTTCTTTTTTCTTACTCACTTTGGCAGAAGGATGAAATCCATGACTTCTTGCTGCTAATTACAATGGAACACCATAAAGTGCTCTTGCACGTATTCAGTACTCACCCTATCAGGTTTTTGTTAATTACTAATCATAGAGTATTTTTTCCTTACACAGATTTTTCTGTTTCCTCTTAGAAATAAACACAGCCCTTCCTTTCTTCATTCCTACAAAAAACCCTGACTAACCAACCATCCGACCAACCACAAAAGCTAGAAAATAATGTCAGGCCAAACAAATTAAATAAAACCTTTAAGTATGACAATGAAGTGCTCAGAAATTTAACAAATAGCAGTGCTCAGTGAGGATTTTACCTTCTCTTTAGGCTCTTTGGTGAAGACTTTAATTACATGATCTCATCATAATCTTGTGTCTTGGGAAAGTTATTTCAGAGGCTGTTAAAGCTGATATTGATGCTGATTAACTGGCCTCTCTTAACTTTCAAGTTTGGGTGATCTTGTTCCAGAATAAATTTATCTATGAATGGAGTTAATAGGAATACTTGATTAGGTTTATTCAGGGATAGGAAGCAACTCTAAGTCCAGTTTTTATATGCCTCAGATACCATTTCAAATCTTAAAAAGAAAATCTCTATACTGTTAATGTATTGTTGTTACAACTCATGTAGTATGGAGTGCAAGTTCCTGAGGCATTCTGATAGGAAAACACAGATCCTATTGACAAACACATCCTGTTTGTTTTAAGCGGTTTTCTCTCATTCAGAACATAATTTCTTTGTTAAATAAGACATAGCTTTGCAAAATGAAAAGGAATTTTATTGTGCTTTCCAGTGCCCTACCATAGTTTGATGGGAGACAGAGAGTGATTATTATAATCGAATTGCAGGGAACCTGGATTTACACTGGTCATAATTCTATCATACTCTATCAGATGTGATTTTGCAGGTTTTAAAAAATATATGATATATGGGTATTTTGTTTTGTCAAAGACGATTGATCACCTGTATATAATACAGGAGAGGAACCTGAATTACCTTCAGCTTGGCTATGAGTTTGATGGCTTAGTCAAACACAGCAATCTAAAAAATGAAGGTGCATAGCTTTGCCCCACCCCTTTTTTTGTATGGATACTTCTGTGATACTGTGTGATGT